CTGTAGAACATCTTTTCAACAACTCTATTTCAGAGCATCATCAACACAAAGGAGATTTTGTGAAGTTGTGAAATTGTTTCCATACAGAATTCAAATGCAGCATGCCCTTCCTGCACAACATAACGGAGACACTATTACATTCTAAAAAATGCACGGTGTGGTGTGCTCTGCCAACAATTGGTATTGTTGGGCAAATATCTTTAATAATAATACAAATGATGGTCATTTACTCCATATCCTACAGGAAGAATTCCTTATATTTCTCCAAGAAATGGGTGTTCATAATGGATAAACATACTGCAAATGAAATGTTGAATGTGCGCAATGAGAATTTTGACAACACAGTGTTGTCTAATCATTTTCCTGAATAGTCTGGATATGGATGGTACCCTCCAGATCTGAACCCATGCAATTATTTCTTATGGGGCTTTCTGAAAGATAAAGTTTACAAAAACAATCATCACACAATCAAAGAACTGCAAAAAAAATTTTTGCCAGTAGTGAACAGTATTAGCAAAGAAACTCTAGCTGCAATTGGGCAAAATTTCTGACATTGGATGCAGATGGTCGTGGACATCGATGGTGTACATGTTGATTTTTTTTTAACATGATTGTCATCTCCCAAGACTACTGAACTCCGAAACACCAAATACAGAGATGCTTGCTATCAAACCTGGAGTACATTTTTAGAAAGACTCTGTAGAAGGTACTGACACATTGCAACTACATCATGAATTTCATGTGGTATGGCAATGACCAATGAAAGAATCCACAAGAGTTACAATGGACAACACAGTGATGTGGAGAACAGTGTGAATGGTGCATGTGGAGGCACTGAACAAGTAAGTCTGTGTCACTGCATAGCATTTGAAGTTTTCACAGTGGTGAGTCTGAAGATTGCTGTCTTGATGATGGAGGCAGCAAGGACCTCTGAAACGTCGGTAAAATTCTACCAGACTACACGGCGCAACAACCCAGAAGACAGCAATCTTCTGTATCACTGTCTAGTTAAATCAGATAGAGTCTGTGTTACCACTGTACAAAAGCTAAAGAGAAAGTATTGCATGCTATGAAACATTATATCCATCTTACCTGTATGATAGTCACAATTCTCTTCATCACTGTTGTCCCAGCAGTCATTTTCTCCATCACAGATCCAATTCACATGAATGCAAGCTGTAGTATAGTTGCAGGCAATCAATGGCAGTGAAGGCTGTAATTCTGAACAATTTCGTGGTTCTGGAATCAAAATATACCATTCTTACATCAGGAAGTGCAAAACTGTAATTTACACAACAATGTACTACTGCCCAGAACTGTTAACATTACATTCTGATGCAGAATGCTTCCATATCTCACACTTTGCTTTGCTTTATGAGATTGCAGATTCTCATAGCAGCAAATGTTGCATCACACAGCCCATAGAAGGTCGCCAATGTTAAAGAGGTTTATAATACCTCCAACACCATGGCATCAGCCAACTTCTATGCGATTACAGAGCACAATAGCCCAGAAGGCTGTCATCTTCATGTTTTGCTTTATGTGGAAAGACAGTCAGCATGCATGGTCACCACCAATTCTGGTAGAATGAGCACTTGGGACATACAAAAGACTTCTGCAAGACATGACAAGACATTACTGCAGAAAGAAAAAAGAATATATATATAAAACAGGAAGAGCACACACTTCAAAAAGACTGTCACAGCACTACAGTATCAGTTTTTTCATAAAATGATTGTTATGCTTAAATGTGAAAATAATGAGGTAGACTCTGCCAGGCCTGCCACAATCTCACTTTACCAGTGCTCTGAGGCTAGTTTTATATTGCCCACATTACTGATTAGTTGATATTGTCTAAAACAAGACATTCTTTACTTACTGTCACAGTGCATTTCATCACTTGCATCTGGACAGTCAGGATCATTGTCACAGCGGAAGCTGGCCAAAATGCACTGACCAGAAGCACAGCGAAAGTGTTGATCAGATGAACACGAGCAATGAAGTTCATCACTAAAGTCACCACAGTCATTCACCTGGTTGCAAGTTTGGTTACTTGGCACACAGCGGCTATTATGGCACTGGAAGTAGCCAGGTTGACATGTGCGCAGGGCTGTGAATATTTTGTTACATGTTTGTAAATCACTACAACTACTTTATACTTAAAACATTTATTGTATCAAGGAGGGTTTGCAATTGAATGGGACACATCAGCTATTGGCATATGCTGATGATGTTAATTTAGTGGGTGACAATATAAATATAATAAAGAAGAACACAGAAGTTTTACTAGAAAGCTGGGGCTAGAAGTAAATTCAGAAAAAACTAAGTACATGTTAGTATCCCATCAGCAGACAGGCAGGCAAAATCATATTAGGGTGGCTAATAAATCCTTTGAAAGTGTGACAAAGTTCAAATACTTGGGAACAACAATAATAAATCAAAATGATATTCATGAGGAAGTCAGGAGGAGACTAAATTCTGGAAATGCTTGCTACTTCTCAGTTCAAAATATTTTGTCTTCTCATCTGATTTCAAAGAACCTGAAGATTAAAAAATACAAAACAATAATTTTGCCTTGTTTTGTATGGGTGCGAAAAATGGTCTCTCACTCTGAGGGAGGAACATAGATTGCAAGTGTTTGAGAATAAGGTGTTGAGGAGGATATTTGGGCGTAGGAGAGAAAACTGCATAATGATGAGCTTAAAAATTTGTACTCCTCCCCGAATATTGTCAGGGTGATTAAGTTAAAAAGAATGAGATGGGCATGACATGTGACATGCATGGATAGCGCAAAATGTAGATGGGATAATATCAAGCAGGATCTATGGGAGATGGGGGGAGGAGACTGAATTTTTTTGGTCCAGGACAGTGACAAACCTTCGGGTTCCATGAGCCATCTAGTTAGTTAGTTATTGTATCCAGGTTCAGTTTGCAATGTGTGTAGATCTTATTTTATGATACTTATCTGTAATATGACAAACCAAACAATACAATAATTTTACTTGTGTTTAAGAAAATATAACATTAATTTTAACAAAGGCTTGAAGATAAATTGACTGTATCTATTCTTTGGTGTTTGTGATAAAGACATACATGAATTTTATAAAGGTGACAAAGTCAGTAAATGCCCATAAGACAAACATACCACAGAAATGAGGATCTTCATCAGAATCATCTTCACATGCTGGGATCCCATCACAGGTTAGATGGTAAGGAATGCAACCTCCAGACGAGCAGCGGAATTCTTGTTCATTGCAGTCTGCATCCTTGCTGGTGCACCGCCGACCATCTCCCATCAAGGTGCGGCCAGAGATACATTGACATAAAACTTCTCCTGCAGCATCAAGTTTGCACTCATCTTCACAACCACCATTCAGGATGTGGCATTTATTTGACAGACCTGCCACAATAAGAACAGAAATTTGATTTCATTAATCAGTATAATGAACAACAGTGATTTAATATCTGATAGAAACAAAGATGGCTGTTTTCTAGGTTGTTGCACCATGTAAACTGATAGAAGTTTATGAACATTTCGGAGGTACTGGCTGCCTCCATCATCATGGCATCACCCTGGCAGTAAATACCTCTGAAATGTCGGTCAACTTCTACCAGACTACAGTGCGCTATAACCCAGAAAATACTCATTAGCCCAACATGCTTAAGAAGGTCATATGAATGGCTGGAAAGAGGAAAAAATCTGGTAAATCAAAACCAGCAGCAAATATAGAAAATTAAAATCATCTGTCCATATGGCCTGTGTGAAAAATCCAATTAACCAACCTAGTTTAAAACTTTCAACCACATGGATTTCACTAATTAATAAGGAAGTTGGCAAGTCACAGAAGGACCTGATACAACACAGTTGGTTATTCATTAATTTTTTGTTTTTCGGTAACAGCCAGCAGACTCCGTAAATGGAGCTAGTAGTGAACAATTTCAGCACAATTATGTTTGGTACAAAAAATCTTTAGACTGATTTGATGGTCAAAAGTAAGCTGTTGTGGTATGTCTGGTATAAAATTCTTCAGATACAGTACCATAATTATTATTACATATCTTCTTATTATAGCTTGTTGATAATACATGGCTCAGTAGCTTATCATGTTCCAGTTAGGTGACAATGTGTCCACAGATTGGGGTTAGCCCCTTCTATTAAACTCTATCAGTATTCCCAAATGAAGACATGAGCAGAGCCAGCTCCAAAAAGATAGTGGTCTTGTTATTCTGGTACATATAGCATAAGAGACTGAATATAATTTCCTGCCACATATGAATCCTAAGTTTTTAAAAGAGTATGTTGAACTACTGCAAAAATAATATAAGTTAATCCACTGCACAATAGAAATATTACACATTCTTACTGACCAAAACTTCAGTACATAATTCTGGAAGCAGTGAGTTGTGAGTAAGGACCTGAAATTGACACCATATTGAAAATTTTAAGATTAACAAACTGCTAAAAAGGACATGGTCCTATAAATGATTTTTTAAAAATATAATAATTTACATAACCATTTCATTGAAAAAGGGTCTCATATCAAAGTGCATGTAAGTAGTATACTTTAGGGCATTGTGAAAATATCATTGTTATAAAGTGTGAAAACAGTAAAATAATTGGTCTAATACAGAAATTTCTGTCTTATCTTGATTGTTTGAATTCTTCTAAATTCTTGTCTAGAACTGAAAAAGTAATTTCTCACACATGCCTAAGAAAAACCACAGAACTTCAGTAGGTGCAACTGGTATCAGAATGAATGCTACATCACTGAGCTACACTTGTTCAGTTAAAGATTTTATCATTCATAAAAAGGTGAAACTAACATCCAGATTTAGTAGTAAAGGTTTCAGTAGACTCACAATCATTCGTGTCGTTAGCAACAGCAATTATGCCCATTGGTCTTGGTACTTCCTTCCTGAGCAATACAACATCTTCACCTGTGTATTTATTAGCTCGAATAACTGCATTACGGACCCAGTCTGTCCAGAAAATATAGTCACCATACACAGCAAGATCAAATGGATGTTGTGGCGTAGCTTTTGCCAGGATCTAAAACATGACAAAGGAAATACACCACAACGGAATAGATTCAATGAACGATGGTACAGTTGGTAGGATTTGAGGTTCTCATGGTGGTGAGTACAAAGATGGCTGTCTTCTGGGTTGTAGCACTATGTAGTCTGATAAAAGTTTACCAGTATTTCAGAGGTCCTTGCTGCCTACATCATCAAGGCAGCAACAATCCAGAAGACAGTCACCATTAGATGCAATAGTTCTTGTCAAGAGATGCTGAATGGCTTTGAAAGGACAAATGAGTTGATCCACACAACTGCGATGCCACTTTTATATCAAAATTAGCATATAAAGTGTGTTAAATTAAATAAGGAATAATTTTATTATTTATTCCCATTGTATCTGTATCTGCTTCCTACCATATTTCTTTCCCATCCCTCCCACATCTCAATGTCCTTGACCCTTACCATCTTGTCTTGATTCCTATTTCCTGAAACAATTATAAATAAAGCACTTTACATTTTAACTTAACAATCTCAATCAAGCTGTCTAAATTACAAATGCAAATATTTAACACTTTGAAGCTAAAGCTTATATAAATAATATTTTAAGAATTCAGTCCATATTGCAAATAACACACCACACTTCTCCATTGTAAAAAAGATCAATCAGTTCATGCTGTTCACAGAAACAATCATTTACACTGAGATTCATATAAAACCCAACAATACAAAATGCAGAGTTATTCATCTGGTGCAAATAGCTAACGTTTGGATTTAAAGGGTTAAAGACATGACAAACATACGAAAATAAATTCTAACACAGTACTCTGAAGTATAAATCTAAAATGGTTTAGAAGGAAAGTAATATCAATCAAAACATGCAGTTACAGGAAAACAATGGTGACAAATATCAGCAGTATAACATCTGAGGTCAATGCCAATTTACACATCTCCTTTGTGTGTGCAAGCAAACATTAAACATAAAACTGGAATTTAAGATAAAAAATGCTCACATTTCACATACTTTTTGGACTGCAACATAAAATCAAAAGGCAACCTTAGTAGCAAGGTGCAGTTACCAAAACAAGAAGGGCTAGAAAACAGTATTTTCATTAAAAGAACTGACTCACCACTCTGTTTGAACCATCATATTCTGCTCGTTCTATCTTGTCTAGCCTAGCATCACCCCAGTACAGTTTCTGGGCCTTATGGTCCAAGGTTAGAGCATTTGGCATACGGATGTCAGTTGTAATGATGCTTTCCATATTATATCCGTTAAAATATGCTCTTTGAATGGCTGGGTTGTGTGAATTCCAGTTAGTCCAGTATAAGCGCCTGAAAGGGCAGTTATGAAATAAGCCTTATAGAATCACATGATCACTGCTATTCAAAGTAAATGTTCATATTTACCTAAATCCATACTTCCATGCAGGAATGACCTACCTCATAAGGTGGCGACTGACTTGTAACATTTGCCTGTAATGTAACGAGTTACAAATCGAGCATTACACAAGTGAAGACAGCGAACGGAGCCGCTCGATGCAAGCTGCTCACGCTCGCGGGCGCTCCATTGTGTTGTCGGTTTTTTCGCGAATCCCTTTGAGTGTTACATTACAAGTCAGTCAGTCAGTCGAGCGGCGTCATAACGAGCATTCACGAGTTCTTTAGATAAGAGTAGCGTATTAAATGAAACAAAGATAACACAACCTCCACGTCCGATCAGTCGCCACCTATAGGTACCATGCAACAAACAGGAACTTAAAATTTATATTGGGTACAGTTTGAACGTACCAAGAAAAACAGAAAGTTGCAAATGAAATAATTACATTACAATCATGTTCTCACATATGCTATACCAGCTGGCTCAAGAGGAAATATCTGGAGAGTGTGAGAGACAATTAAAAAATTAAACATTTAGAACTCCTTATGAATACTCTAAATTATTACAATCACCCCAAAGCTTTTCTGAGGGCACACCTAGGTGCTTGCAAGCATACAGTTGGCAATAAATTCAAAAGACTGTTTCACATCAAAATGTCACACTGCAGAGGAATTCCAGTACAACAAACTTAAGTTGACATAGTAAATATATATTTCAAAACAACACTATGTTAAAGTCAAAACACAGTGTAGTCACAATAAAAAGTATTATACAATAGTAGTAACAGTAGTAATGATAACAATAATAATTCATCTTGAGATGCAGTCCCAACTTGAAACCACTAAATGAATTTTACATTGATGAAATGTAAATATATGTAATACAACACTTATGTGAAATGTTGTAAAGGATGGCACAGAATGTAAGTTGAATCTGATACTTGATGTCAATCAGATTCAAAATCCTTATTCTGTCAAACAGGAATAGGGGCAATAAATCCCCACACTATGGGTTCCTGGGTTTAATAGTTTAGTGGTATGCCAGTGCAACGCACAGCCAACTAGATCACATGTAAGCTGCATTGCACAGATGACAAAGGTAAACACTTCACTTACTTTGAAATCATGTGCACATTCATAAAAATCTTCAGTTCAGTCTCCACTATGAACTGATGCATGTAACAAAAATTTTATGCAAGTCACATTGAACACAACAGATAAATTAACAGCACTTCAACACTTTCACGTCAAATATCTCAGTGCCGTGGGTAGCACTCCTCTGCGAAAGGCACGTGGTTTGAATCCCAGCTTGGAGAATGGCTATTCTGAGCCTTTTCATAGTTTCTTCCATGCAACAGCTGGCTAGTACATTAAAACAGATCATGACTACCTATTTGAACACCTTGACTAATCTGCTGTTCGTTACCATATATATAATCACATATAAAAAATAAACATCCAACAAGGAAAACCCTGAGACGGAAATTCTGGGGATTCAAAACTTTCCACCACGGTTATGTGAAAATTCTCCAAAGGCAACAACCTACACAATCATATTGTGCCAAGTTCCAGGGTTTTGTTATATGACAATCTTTTATATAGAGGTTTCTCAATATTTTAGATACTTCTGATATCACGTACAAAGAAATAAAGATATATACATACATGTTACAACTGTCAACATCAATGCCTCGGGGTTTGTCGTTTGGTCCCAGGGTAATTATATGCTCCACTTTTGTCTCATTGCTTGTTAGAGCTATTTTTTTTATAGTTGCATCATTGTTGCATGTCCAATACAGTGCATTGTTAATGACCTCATATGCTAAACCTTCAACAGAACCCTGTCCTAAAATCAAAAGTACAATCTTATATTACTATATAAATAAAAAATATTGCAAAAGTAAATTCTGTCTTAGCAAAACTGATGGCACAGGAATCCAAGCAAATGATACATCACTGGCACATCTCTGAAAAAATGTACAGCTATCTAATAGAAATCACTAGAAGGCTACTAAATCTTAAGATTATGAATTAACCCTATGAAGTGGAAGCTTGTCTAAATAAATAAAAATTCAATTCCTACCTCAAAGAAACCACATCATATCTTCATTAGAACAAATATCAATTGATTAAAGCTATCTATGGGAATAACTGCGGTTTACTTTGAGAATCATATGAAACCTATAAATACACAGCATACTGATCATTAATACAAGTTGTGCACATAGATACCAGTGGGATTTCAAGGGCTAAGAATAAATGAACAATCCTTTTAATCATTTCAACAAACAAATATGTATGTCTTAATGTACTTATGGCTTATAGTTAATTTTTTCTTCTAACGAAAGACAATAAATTTAAAGTCAATGACATCAAATAAAATGTTCTGAGGTGAAAAATAATGAGGCAACAGCCTTATCACAAGAGGCTGAAGGAGTGTCTCAGAAAACTAAAATGTTTGGCCCAGGATCTGCAGGAGACAAAATGCTGTTCATTTAAAATGGATCCAAAACTATGAAATATGTGATGTGTGTACAAAGATAAATAGGTTTTGTTTTGTTTATAAACTCAACCTAATCTTTCTTGGTGATGGGAATGTACATACATAGGTTCCACAACCAACATTCAGAGATTTTTACTGTTTTCACCATCAAGACAAAGAGAGTACCCTATTGCTCCTATAAGAACATACCTATAAGCAAAAGGCTTAAAGATGAAGACAGTAAATATCTCCACCATAACAACATACAAAAACAAGATCTAAGTTGATAATGAACAACCACAAAAGCCTGATAAAATCTACAAATTAACATTCTGACATTTAATGCCGTTATTAATGTGACAGCCGATAAACATACACAAAATGGAAAACCAACATACTTATGAAGATGACTGTCTTCTGAGTTATAGTGTCATGTACTCTGGTAGTAAACTGATGTTTCAGAGGTGCTTACTACCTCCATCATCAGAGTGAAGATTGAGGCAACAGCACCTCAATATCAGAGAACTTCTACCAGACTACATGGCACAACCCATAAGACAGCCATCTTCGTAGGCACTACAGTGAAAACCTCAAATCCTGCTCAGAATATGTATGTTTGGCCATATCCAATTAAAAAATATCATAAATTCAAAGTACTTAATTTTACTGCTCTGAATTTAACAAAACAAACTGCACAGAAAGTGCAATATGAAAACAGTTTCTATTTCCAACAAATGCAAAATGCCTCACCAATGTTTTAAAAAAATTTTCTGAAGAAAGTGATAAATTTTTATTTATCTCAAGCACTATTAGAGAAATTTCCTCCCCACACACCCCTCTTGTAAAATTAACATACTAACTTTCAACAATGGGAATGTGACCAGAGCCATTGAAATAAACTGAATTGATGCTCCCACGCTGAATGTCAGAGTAAAATATTTTCTTGCGCTCATAATCAAATGATAGTCCAATTGCATTCCTCATATAGTCCTTAGACTGAATGCTTTGGAAAGGAGCATTGCGGTTGAATTCATCAAACATATTAATGGTGTCAATTCGTACAACACGAGAATAGACCAGGAAACTATCGTAATCTGGAAAGAAAAATAAAGAACCTATTACAGTAAAATTCCAATATAACATTTCAGAATAACAAAAATACTGCTCACTCCCTACAAAAGTACTACAAATACACACTCTAAAAAACAAATTTACCAATAACAAACACTGATACAACAAAATTTCCGTACAACACGGAATCTTACCTGTGTTAAAAAGGTTTGTTCAACGGTGTTCATAAATAAAAAAAGTGCTGTTACTTTCACAGTTTGTTAAACATAAACCAGATGCCAGAAGCATACAAATATCTGCATGTTCCCTGATCTAAATGTCAGTTTAGTTAACTACAAGATGGATATATTTCAATGACGATCTTTGCTAAAAAAAATAATAGTGCAAACATCTCGTAACTCTTTAGTATGCAATATGGTGCAGAATAAAGTGACTAATGATGACAATATTGTTAATATTTCATTGTGCAGATATAAATCTTTCAGAAGTAAAACCTAGTGACAGTGATAATAAAGAATGACTGCAAAAGGGCACATCAAACAATGAACAAAATAACAAGAAAGTGGATCCAGTTGTCAGTGTCTACTCACTGCCTAAGCCCACTCTTTATAAGGCTTCCAAAAACATCTAACTAATACTCACCCTGAACAACATGACAACTACATTGTTTGCCAACAATGAAATGATGCAACTCATTCCTAAAAGATGAAGTTTTACCAATACACTACTACATACACGGCCAGCTGAACCACATACAAGCCTTGGCACAGGGCTAAAAATAAATAATTGACATAAACAAGCATATGTTGGGTCATTCTTATCTATGGCATAATAGTGGGATGAACATTTCATTTTTATGTTTGAAAATATTATTACAAAGATACAATGTGCGACTTATTAAACAAAAATGTATTTACCTTAAAAAAAACAATAATCTTTGTTATTATATAAGTCACAATGTTCATTAAAGCTTTCCTGTCTTCATATAATATAAATGGGTAGTGTAATTTATCTACTGTATGTAATGGGTGCCTTTCATTATAATAAAATTTTATTAGCGTGGATACACTCTGTCAGTCCACTAAAGTTCATTATACACAGTTTTAACTGTACTGTGCTGTTTAATGTACACTACTACATTCATATTCACAGGTTTCAGCGATGAAGTAACTAAAGCCTTCAATGTGCATATGCCTGGGAGAGGAACAAAGGTGAAAGATGTACTCCAAAATGGAGAAAATCAAACATCCAAAAATATTCTTTACTAATGATTACTCCAAAATAGAACATATCAGTAGCTATTCTCAGTCATTACCTTTAAAGTTAATTTAACATAATGTATCAACCATGCAGCAATGCATGTATGTACACAAAAACATCCACGCAAAGCATGAACTATGATACTGCAAGTTATTATACTAACATTCAAATTTAACACATATTTCACCAATTTCCTGTTATAAAATTCTGGTGCTTTGTTAAGAGAAGGGTTGAAGTCGGTAAGAATTACATGACTTAAGCCTACTTACTGAGCACCAAACATCTACACATTTAATTTCTACTTTCCTGCATCTTAGTAGAGAACTAGTGTGACACTGTAAATAAACTCAGTTTATTCCAAGCAATATGATACTTAAGATATGGCTCAGCTGCCATATTGACACTTTGTTCTAATTATTTTCACTTTTGAAATAGTCCATCTGAAGGATATTATTTAAACAACATACAAACATTATCATCTCATTCACATCAATAGCATCAGTCTAAAGGTTCCCTTGTGATAGGCGATGTAACATGAAGACTTAAGGGGGACTGAATGCAAAGCTCCACACATAATTCTGAACAGTAAATGAAGCTGGTCAACTTCACACTTCAGCTGCTTTACCAACCGAGAATAGCCTACAGCACCCATTAGATATACGAGTCTGTGTATGCAATGGCAAAGACAAAAATCCCTGACCCTGAGAGGCAGCAAAGCCCCTTCAAATAGACCACAGCTACAATATGTCTCAATTGATAAAATATTTAATGAGATAAACACTTTTGTTTAAACCAAATTCTGCCAATTTACTTTTAAAGGTGACTTACAGAATTAAAAAATTGTGAGATAACACAAAATACTTACTTCAATAACACCTACAAATGTATTCACAAACATTCTAAACACTTTATGAATTAAACATTTGAAATAAAAATAAATTATGCTTTCAAGAGGACCAATCATAAATATAATTAAATTCATGTGATGTTCTAGTACATAGTTTCATCGGAAATCAACACTGGTGTACGAGTTAGTCACGGATCAAACAGTTACTATAACTACTGAAAGTAGGTAAAAGCCAAGACTATGTATGATATGATCTAATTACTGAAGATATGCGAGTACTCCAAGCATGACTTTTGTTACTTGATAGTAGAACAGTCTACTTAAACATGTTTAGAATTTTAAAATCATTTTAGCTTAAATAGTTGCCAGACTTGGTGGGGTAACTCTCACCTTCACAGGTGCCAACAGATGTAACTTTGCCATGTGCACAAGCACACACAGGGTGTGTTCCATTGAACAGACATAACTCTGAGCAGCCTCCATTGTTAACTGCACAAGGATTGGTGCCCTGCTGTCGACCTTTAGTGAAGACCTGGATATCTTTCAAAGAATCGCCTGCTCCTGACAACAGCACTCTATGGTCTGAGAGATTTGACACAGGCGATGACAAGATGCTGCCACGTTCATACGCACTGGAGGGAATAAACCAACACAAGACTCTACTGATCACAGTCTAATTAATATATGAATGTATTTAAATCTATGTAAGGTAAAATAAAGTAAAATAAAGTGGGAAAACACTTAACAGAATAAAAATCCTGCAGGACTGACTGTGGCAGTGACATCTGTTTCTGTAGACCCTTGAGCTATTACAAGCTCAATCCTGGCATGGGCAGAAAATAACTACAGGTATGTGAGAAGCTAAAGAATGTGAGCAGAGCTCAAAACTTTGTACAGTTGGAGCTCAGCTCAAATTTTAAAATCTGAAAACAAAACTTTCAAGCCAAAGTCTTAATAATTTATCAAGATAATTATGTCATAGTCAACATTTATATTGATATGATCCCTTCGCTGTACAGCAAGACACGACTGACCAAATCTGATGGGCCTTGGCCTTTATCTCATCTGCTGAAATGTATGCATTTAAGCATACAGTAAACAGGCAGTTGTACTATCAGACACATTTAATCTAGATCCACATGTTGTCACATCACTATATACTGGGAAAAGAGTTTCTCAAGACAGATGACTTGAGAAAGTCAGAAGAAATGATACTCTCCAACACGGATACTAATAAAAATATAATTAAAATGTGTTTCATACATGCTGAGATTTGTGGTTCTAATGGCAGTGACTATAAATAAAGATGACTGTTTTCTGAGATATTGCGCCGTGTAGTCTGGTAGATGTTTACCGACATTTCAGAGATGCTTGCATCATCAGAACTCAATGCAAAAATATAAAATCTATGTAATAATTGTTTTTTAAAAATTAAAATTGAGGATGTTCAGTTTTCTCTACCAGAACTTAATTATTCTAAACAGTAACAACCTTACATGTGGAATGAATATTCATTTTTTATTTATGTGCAAAATTCATAACAGTGTCTTTAAGTTAAATGCAAATAATTAAAATCTGTAGGGAGTTCCTCCCTCTAAAGAGAGTTATCTGGCAATTAAAACAATATAAAAATAAGGTAACCCTCTTGTATTCACACTGGGAATTCAGGGAATTTAAGACTGTTAACACAAATTGTCTTAACTTCAACTTTCAAAACTTTGCATATATTTGTTGAGAACATGATGGGACAGGTCAATTCACAGTGAAATTTTCAAGAACACTGAAACCCAAGTCTGTAATATGACTGACAGAATTCCATGATGCTGCCAGCATAGATTTGGTATCAGAGGTGGTTGTAACTTTCTGTAAGAACTTGCAAACAAGACACCCATGACATCCCTGCTTTAAAACCCAGTTATACCCTTGTCCATCGGTTGTAGGACACAGGTCATGCTACTTGGCAGAAATTCCACTTTTAAGTTTCTCCTTTGGGATGTGCATGCCTGTCTACAAACTGAAGTACTTTCAGGTTTATGGCAGTCAGTCTCCTTTTCCAAACATGTTTGGAATTTCATGAACAGTAGTCATATTTAATGCCTTACATCTCTATATAATATTCACAATATAATCACTCACTATGGTGCAGCAAATTTTTTGAAAAGTTAATCATATACTTGACCTGTCAAAGAACAGTCCACTTTTTTTATGAAACATGAAGGTTCACCACCATGCTCACAAAAACCCACCACTGGACCCTATCCTGAGCTAGCTGCATCCAGTTCGCTCCGTTGATTCCCTTCTCCCTAACGTACACCTTAATGTTATCCTCCCACCTATGCCTAGGTCTTCCCAGTGGTCTCCTCCATTCAGGCCTCCCAAACAATACCCTTTAAACACCCCTCCCCCATGCATGCTGCATGTCCCATCCACCTCACCCTCCTCAATTCACCCCATGCGTGGCGCATGTCCAGCCCACCTCATCCTCGAGTTAATCACCCTAACAATATCTGGTGAGGAGTACAGGCCAGGAAGCTCATCATAAGGTAATTTTCTCCATGATCCATCACCCTCCCTTTTAGGTCAAAACATATTCCTCAACATTCTGTTATTTTTGACCCTCAATCTATGTTCCTCTCCCAAAGTGAGAGACCAAATTTTGGATCCATGCAGCACAAATGGCAAAATTACACCTTTGTATATTTTTATCTTTAGTTTTTTATGCAAAATGGGAGGACAAAAGATTCTGGACTGAATGATAGCAAGCATTCCCTGAATTTAATCCACTCTTGATTCCGTCATGTATGTCATTCTGACTTGTTAGTGTCGTCCCCAATTACTTGAATTTTGTCACATTTTCGAATGATTCATTAGCTATCCTTATATCCTGGTTCTGTCCTGTGATCATGCGAATACATAATCATATACTTTATCTTTCCTTCATTTATTTCTAGACCAACAACCCTACTAGTCCTTAAGAGTGTTTCTGTGTTCACTTTTATAGTATTTATATAATCACCCAACAGATTAATATCATTAGCATAGACCAAAACCTGGTATGTCCAATTCAATTCCAAACAGCCCTGATTTTCTTAGACTTCCCTGATGGCATATTCTAAGGCAAATTTGAAAAGCAGCAGCAATACAGCATCTCCATTTCAGGCCTCTGAATAAGAACTGAATAAGATGTTTACATATATAAATATTGCTAGAGGTTTCACTTACACACATTTTAATTAGCCTGACTAGCTTCTTAGGTACACCAATTTCAAGCAAAATATTGCAAAGAGCTTCTCTTTTAACTAAGTCACAGGTTTTCTTGAAGTCTATAAATAGTTGACAGACTGTCCTACTGTACTCGAGACTTCTTCACTAGTATCTGGCAAATGTAGAAAATTTGATCAGTTGTAATTCTATCAGGATGGAACCCACAATGATGATCTTCAATAATTTCATTGGCATATGGAGTCGAGTCAACCTCGCCAGAAGAATGTTGGATACAATTTTGTAGGCAGATGATGAGGGAGATTCCGCAATAATTATTACTATCAGTATTAACACGCTTCTTATAAATTGGTACAATAATAGATTCCCTTCCACTGCTACAGTATTTCCTCCTTTTTCCATATAAAGCTAATAAGTTCGTGTATCTCAGAACGCAATGTTTCACCTTCTGCTTTGATCAATTTGGCCGGAGTCTGATCAGTACCCAGGGATTTATATTTGTTAATCTTCTCAATAGCAGTTTCCACTAATAAGGGTATGTTCTGGTACTAATGGCTTGGCCATATGTATATCAATCACAATGATACATAATACACATATTAATAGTTTCTCACAACTTCACAAGATTAAATACATTCACTGTACACATGCTAGCACAGAAAGGCCACATAATAACCAGCTTAAAATAAGACAGAAGAAAAGGAGGAGAAATGAAAACAGACCTGTCAGAATGTTGTCACTTGTTCTGTCCAAATTATACTGCTCACTGAGCACTTGCAAGTCAGTGATATATGTGAATTGCTTTGTTTCTCATTCGTTCAGGCATACATGATCCCACAAAAATGTATTAAATTGGTAAATGCCTTCAAAGTTTTTATTCTTAGGCAGGATATCTTTTTATGAGGTAAATACTAAAAAATGATATAAATACATTATTCTTATGTTATACTTTTTGGACTCAGCTAACATTTTGATATCATAGGCAGCAAACTTTCTTAAAAGGGATCTTCTTAAGTGGGAATAACTGGCATCCTATTATTGCTGGTACTCACATGTCAATCCAGAACACACTATCCTGGTATAAAGTGATGGCTCGGGGGTTGTCTAATGACTGTTCTAGCAACACCTCACGGTCAGAGCCATCATAGCTTATCCTCTCAATTCTGTTGCTTCTTGAATCACACCAGTATAGCTTTTGGTTCTGCAGAAATTAATTAATAATACTACTATTATTACCACAGTGTGTATAATTAAGCCACATAAAAATTGTTTCAAAAAATACTACCTCCACTCCAGGAACAGTTGGAAATTCAGTATATATTCATTTATTATTTCAGTCTATACACAAACTTAATTTTAATTTTTAAATGTTGTTGTTAAAATTAAAATTTAGCGCTTTTCATCGTTATGAAAAGCACTGTCAGTAAATTTTTTCTTTCTTTCCAATTTTTGATTTTCTGGTTTCAAAATCGGCGTTATTCTGAATCGGCACAAATCCGACGGGCGCAAATCGAGGGATACCTGTATTCACACTGAGTACATACTTCTGAAACTTACAAACATTATCTTTGCATCATTGCCAGTCCCCTACATTACCGACCACTATATGAGGGAACATGGGCAATCCACTGAAATAAATTTTTTACCTCTGTTTTACTTATGAGGGGCTCAGAAAAGTCATTAACAGTAATTCATATTTCTCTTCAAATTAGGGAGACATACTGATGTCTATTTTATACACATCTGGAATAAATTACTGTAGTTAATGGAAGATATAGAAGAACCACATACAGAAAAATATAAGGAGATTGTGAATGACTGGAACTATGACACTAGCTGTATGCTTATATCACTTAGTTTGGGATTTGGAAAATTTCAACCACTTGGTTTTTGTTGCACAGAGTGTACAAGACATCAAGAAGAAAAAGGTGGCACGAAATCAGACAGGAAAGACTGTGTAAGGATAGAAAATACCAGAAACTTCTTGTCCATTGACCTGCATTAAACTGAAACAATGCTAGTAAGAAAATAATGTCCACTTTAACAAATGGTGGATTTAAAGTAATGTGAATGTCATTTATCACACATCTTGTGTTAAAATACAAATACTCACTTACTCAGCCAAAAATCTACATAAGATGTATCAGTTCCAACCACGGCTTTAATGAGAAACACCATTCACATGCCTCACTTGAGTAGGTGTCTATATTTGAATCTCCATGATTATGCCTGTGTTCACAGTAACATACACCTCAAGTGACATGTTAATATCATGGGAAAATTCCAGAAAATGAGAAAAAGGAAATAAAGATCTTTGATAATGATGGAACAGCATCTCTGCACTCTTACCGATATAAATGCTTTTCACCATATGCTCTACTCTTAACCATTTCCTTCAATGCTACTGACAACAGTCTCTTTATACTACAAGATTAAAATTCCTGTATCTCTTTCACATGACAATTGTTGTGATGATGCAGAAGTCATCTCACCTCATAGTCCAGAGCAATGTCATTGATAGAGTTGCCAGTGTCATTTACCAGGACAAGTCTCTGTGAGCCATCAAGTCTTGCTCTTTCAAGTCTTGGCTCCTTTCCAGCATCACTCCAAAAGAGAAAGCCATGTGGAGGATCCACTGCAATAGCTGTTGGTTTGTCCAGGTTCCCAGTAACAACTACGTAACGGCAGGAGCCATTAAGTTTTGCCATCTCTATTACGTTAAACTTTGGGTCTGTCCAGTAGATATTTCCAGCAACCCAATCAACAGCCAGACCTACAACAGTGCAGAATTCAGGAAGTTATATGCCCTGAATTGCCATACCCAACATAAATTTGAGTTCTTCTAAACCTAACCAGATTTTAGTTTAATATATGATTTTCACAAAGCAGTTGCCACCCCAGAACTAGGTTCTGTAACTCATTCAACATGAAGCAAGGGAATAAAAGCAAATAAACTTTTAGCAGACATTTCCCCACTTGCGCGCCCAACATTTACACACTTTATATTTAAACCAATGTGAGTTCTGGACATTTATTTACTAGATAATTCTTATAACAAACATCCTGAAAAAAGGTAAACTGTTTCAAAAACAATTTTCATAATACATATCAAAATTATATCATATACAAAATTCTGAGATACTGTAATGTACACATCACACGCAATGGGAAAGGTGTTTGTTTAACCTTCAGCAACCAACTCAAATATAAAAACTGTACACAATTAGAGTGCTTCATATGAAATCATCCATTCCTTCACTTTTTCAAAGGTAAAACTTTGCACACCTAACAACCTGGTGACTCACCTGGCAACCAATCAACTGGAATGCTCTCCATTGACTCAAAGTGTTCTACTACAGTTTGCCGGCCTGTGCCATCACGTCTGATCCGAGTCACTGTGCCATGATCACTGTCTGCCCAGTACAGATAATCCAACTCTGAAATACACACATGTCAAACTTCAAATACGAATGCATGAATATAATGTTACAAAAGTAATTTTAAAAATGACAGATACTAGCAGCAGAGTACATTTCTACAAAACTGGGGCTATAACTATACAAATTACATACGTCATGAGAACATATTGATCACTGCATTCTATTATTAGAGGATTGCTGATGGAAATACAGCATATAACCAAGTGACAAACAGTTATAACAAATGTTGGTGTTTTACAGTGGTTCAATCCTAATGCTGTTCCTAATTATGGCACCGTGTAAATGTAGTCTGTATTACCAATGTTTCTGAGATCCTTGTTACCTCCATCTTCAAGGCAAAGAGACTACCAAGTCCCCACTGTGAATATCATAAGAGGAACATAGATGAATGAGAACTGCTTTCTCCATTTGACTGCTATAGCTTTTATGTAAGGGATTTCTCTCTCAAGCGAATACTTAGTGAGATATGCCTAAAAACATATTCAGGCCCTGATATTACGTAGGTATTGCAACTGGTGACTACAAATCTGGCAATTCTTGTATAACAGATATGTTGTATACCAAGGAAAATCTGTAAAAATGTATAAAAAATTGTGCAAAAGTTCATTTAGGACCATTAAAATCAAGGAAAATCTGTAAAAATGTGTAAATGCAAAAGTTCATTTAGGACCATTAAAAAAGGTGGCTATTAAAATGAATGTAACTAAACCAAGGGCAAAATTGCTCAACAAAATTTAATGTAGGTCTACCGAATTGTTTTTTGCTGAAATTGATTAGATAGTCTGTGTGCTCTTACTTGAGAACAAACTTGGATATGATGAAACAAACAACATACCCCTCCAAAAACACAGGAAAATAGAACAGTTGTTTTCTGTACTTACACAGCATGGCATTTAAACACATAAAATTCATAAACACTATTTTCATTTATTTAAATATTATGCTTCATCTTCAAAACACAATTAACAATTACCAAATTTCAATAACATACAGCAATATGGATGTCACCAGTCCATTATCTCACCTGCATGAAAGTCAATGCTGCTTGCCATGGACACCCGAGATATTGGCCCTAAAACTTGTGTTGTGTTGTCATCTCCGAGAGGCAGACCTTTAATCTCCCAGTTAATGGAGTAAAAAAGGAACTCCTTGATTCCTGGAACCAATCACATCATTTTTACTCCAAAGAATCTTAACCATTATGTCGGGTGGGTTTTTACATTTAATGCTAAAAAGCTGTATTACATTATCTGTTTGTCTTGAACACCACGTGAAATCAATGGCAAACAACAGAAGCAGTATTCATCATCTGCAACTTTTCTATTAGAATACATAATATTACAACCAAAATAATTCTGAAATATGGTAGTATGGCCTGGGTACTAAATAAGAGAGACTCTGAAGTAGCACAAATGGGGAACACAGATATCAGTAAACGATTAAGATTAGTAGAACTGAAGAGTGCTAAATGAACTGGCTATAGCACATGTCGAATCAACACAGAATATGAAAGTAGGCAAAGGAATTTAAACCACCGGGATGAAAGGAATCTGGGTGACTGATGAAAAAATGGAGAGACCCAATAGACCTACTGAGTTTGAATTTTTTGTCAGATTGCTATATCCCTCAGAAATTGGATGGCACAGCCACATAAAAAGCCCCAGACAATATCTGTGTTGCCTTGATGTCTCTTCATCACATATTTATTAAAGTTACCAGTTGTCAGAGAAGTGAATTACTTACCAATACATTTTGTAGGGTCATTAGAATCAGTTTTGTAGCCTGTAGCACACATGCACACACGCTTTGTCTCCGAGACTGGTAAACAAAGGTGGGAGCAATTGCCCTTGTTTACGGAACAGGCATTATCACCAATCTGCACTTCTGGATCATATATTCGCAGGGACGTCACACTGGCTGCAACAGGCAAACTGCTATAGTTCACATAACGGAGTGACTACATACAGCTATTGTCATTTCACACTTAATACAGTTGATTTATAATTTGTGGTCTCTTCAGAATATACAGTGAAACCTCTATCCATCGTTCCCGGAACTATCGTTTTCCCGGATGCATCGTCCGTTTTGTTCGGTCCCGAATACATCCCATATAAAATAATGTTACATTTTCCCGCTTCTATCGTTCCTCGAACTATCGTTTTATCGCATCGATCGTTCAAAAATCGTAGTCCCGGCCCACAATTTTCCCGCAATGATCGTTCCTGAGAATTTAAAATGCTGGGTTTAGAGATAAATTAATACCGAAAGACGCACAATGTTTTTGGAATAAACAGTAGCGGTAACCTGTTATGTCGCCCAACCAGCACATTCTTTTGGAATGAGGGTCAGCGGTGCAGGGGTGATAGTTGGAGTGAATGGCGGTGCCCATTGTCAGAAATTTTACGATTTTAATTAGGGTGCACTCATATTTCGTTCCAGCGATGCCAGATGGCATGTGCAGTGTGAATTTCTTCACAAATGCTTTTATTACAAGTACAAAGGAAAGGCGAAAGTGCTGCTGTGGATGTGGAAATAACGGAGCTGTGGCTCGAGAGACTGCCAACACTGCTGGAGGGATATGAGCCGCGGGACATTTATAATGCGGATGAGATAGAGGGTACTCCAGTAAACTTCTGCTGTGTACTTTCAAATTTATGAATGCATGATGGTGCACATGCTGAGCTGAGCATGTTGACTCTGCCATTCATCCTCAAACAAAAATTAAGACCTGAAAACCTCTTCCATGTCTAAACTATTTGACCCATTTCCTACACACACACAGCAGAGAGAGAAGCCACAGCACAGCTCATCATTCTGGTCTGCACTAAGACAGGGTAAAGACCAAGTCTGGTCTGGACAGTGAAGGTATAAAAATATGTTGGTCTGGGAATTGGTTATATAAGACCTTTCTGGTATGGCCCGGTACCTTCCACACCACAGGTCATGGTGAGAATCAGGAAATGTGTGTGCCACATCTCTAAAAAGGTAAGCTGCTCCAACCAAACTGAAAGATCAAATCCTATAAAGTTCAGGTAAATGGAATGAGCTCAGAAAGTGTATTCCATACTGGTACACACACGATATCCTTATGCTTTCTTTGCAACTTGCATTTAGAGGTACTAAATCTGCCTCAATCAATACTTTCCACTTTGGCCACCATATGGCAGCACCTCAATGTCTCCATCATTACTTTCTTCACCTGTTACTTTGTTGTCACCATTTTTAGGATATTCAAAGGTAAGATTTTTGAGGTCATGCAGAACAGCACAACCTCCACAGCAAATTTCATCCAGTCGTTCTCAAGTTAAATCAACTGGACACACACAACCAGCCCATAATATGCCCACTTCATGTGAAGAAAGCATAAAAATCTATGTAGTATTAGTAAATGATCATTGCAATAGTTCTATAATAAATACTTATCTCGGTGAATAGGCTACTTATGCAAACTCTCTGAAATGAACTTACCAGTATTGTTTCTGAGAATACTGTTGTCTGCTCCAGTTGTTTTATTGGCTACATGTATGGCATTATCATCATCATTGGCATAATACAGCATTCCATGATACACAGTAGCTGCAGTAGGATGATCATTGTTCAAATGTACAGTCTCAACTTGATTTGTGATAAAATCATAATACTGCACAGAGTCGCGCCCTGCATTTACCCAGTACAGTCTCCTAGATTCCAAATCCACAGACAAGCCTGCAACACACGGGAAATTCTGCAATACAACATACTCAGTACAGCAGTGGCACAATACACATGAAGATAAAGGAAAGGAACATAAATTATGTTTCTTGCCTTATAAAAATAGTCAAATTTCAATGATCAAGTACCACAGAAATGTGGCAGGAATGAGTTACATTCCTTCAGCTATTCCTTGAATCTGTGCAGTAAACTCCCAATTATCCATGTGCAAATTATGTGGTCCGAGGATTATCCAAGCACAGCTATTTTTTATATAACATAGACATATGTGAACTAGGCTTTTTACATCTTTCCATGCCTGCTTTGGGAGGGTGGGGGTGACAGGTTAGTTTTGAAAGATTTTACAGAAGATACAATCAAACAATCCCTTATTTATGGTGCTTTATCATCAGTGTCAGTCGTGGAGTGGGGAAATGTTTTCCAATGATCATGATGATGATGAAATGAAGGGATGCTACAGGTGCACTTGGTTTCTTCCAGTCAAATATATTAAGCTGTACTGTATGTGAAGTAAACATGATAGTACTCAATTGTAGATCCCAAATATGATAGCTGAAAACTGTATTGACAGTAAAGGAAAAGTTGATTGACTGACTGCATCTATGAAACAATACTACCAGTCATCTCAGAATTCTTGCCAATAAAGATGACAAGATAATAGGAATATGGGGAAAAAAATTACAGTATTAGATGTTATATAATTTGTATCATAGACATGGTTTTCCATGAACCAAGTAGTGCTGGTCTGACCAAAGAGGAAACTTCCAGACATTGAAGGCTTTCATTAAGGAGAAATCAGTAAATCTGAAATTCTTGAAATGGTGTGCTATGAGAAGTTTCTAAAACATCAGTAAAGAAACAATGAAAAAATGCCTGTACAGTAACTACAATATACTTTGAGAAATAACAAATTATGCTGATAAAATTTTCATTAGCAAAAGGCCCTGCCACTTGAAAGCAAAAGTTCAACATTTCAGAGACTATCTATACCACCAAAACAGCAGAATTTTACTCTGAATTAACACTGGTTTGATAATGAAATTGCATGACCTTTGTTCCAAACTGATGCAGCTTGTCACTTGAGAAGACCGTATCACTTTTAATCACTATGGAAGCTGTAAGTCTTATAACAATTTCACTTACTTTGTGGGCAGTGCAGAGTTTGGTCATCTCGATGAGAAACCAACATTTTCTGTTCATTCCCATCCATGTGAGCTTGATGTATTGAATAATTATCACTATTCCAGTCACTCCAATACAGCTTCCCACGAACAGGGTCCAATGCTAATGAACGAATCTGGAAATATCCACCTTCAATCACTGTTGCTACCATTTCTCCTTCCAAGCTGCACACTAAGACGTGGCTGCTGACTGAGCGAAATGAACTCACGAACATGTTCCCTGAGATCCAATCAATAGCAAAACCTGTAGGCTGCTCAATGCCTGCAATCAAATAAAACAAGACTGTCACGTATGTATATATTTTCAATCCTATGCTTTTATAACTGAAATTCTGCAGCTGTTGGCTGCTTACTTGGAAACAATTTATTTCTAAATGCTATTTAATATTATGGAACAGGGTCTTCGTGAGGGCTTGGCTGTTATTCTGCTATTCCCTATTACATAACCCAATGGATTATCAGTATCATGATACAAGTCTATCTCTGGGTCCCCACCTGTGCCAGTTCAATCCTGTTCACTACTTCACAATCTATTTCCTTTAAATAATTCTCAATTTTATCCTCCCACCTATGTTTCATTTTGTATTAAAGTTTTTGTTTTTAAAGGGCTTGTGTAACAGGACATTAGAAACAGCAACTACAGAAGAAAAGACCCAACACATTGTATGATTTACAAACAAAATCAGATGTCCAGCACCAGCAGAACTTCCACAATATAAAAGGAAAGCACTTACTAAGAATAACATCAGACTAGTGGCACAGAAAATTAACGAAACATGAAAGTGTCCTGCACACAAAGGTTAAAGTCATCCAAGCACAAATGATGAAGTCAACAAAACATGTGTGTCACTTGAATGCAGCACAAGGGACTTGATCAGAAAGGTGTCAAAAAATTTAGGGATACTACTCCATAAACGCACAAGAGTTCTGCACAACATACTATGGCAATAGTACCACAAGGTGCAGCTGGTGGGAAGTACTTGAACCAGGTGACATGTCTCAGTGAATTGTTATTTACCTCATAAATGTACTCTCTACTGGCTGTAGAATTTTATTGGGTGAGGGACAACATAATTTATTTGTTCAACAGATGTAACATATTAAATGGAAGTTTTATAAAAAATCTGCAGAATTTATTTTAACACCTTTGAATTCATTCTATGTAGGAATTTTGAGAACACAAAATCATACAGTATGCCTACAGGGTTTACAAGTTAATTTAATTATGTACATCCCTTCTTTCCATTTAGATCAGGTGTCGTCAACCTGGTCCCTACCGTCCACTAGTGGGCGATTCAAGCTTTTGTGGTGGGCGGTGCGGGTTTTTGTCCGTTGTTACAAATTTTGTTCTACCGCCATATGTCGAATACATTGCCAACAACTTCGCGAGTTTGACTTTTTAAAATATGCTTTTGCCATTTACTTTTCAATTCCATCTCTAAACTTTGAATATAGATAATAATTCACCGGACACTTCTCGAAGTATACTCGTGGATGAGGGAGCAACAAATGAGCTCCGTAGCCAAAGGCACGAGTTTAGTGCGCATAACGAGGGCGGGGCTTACCACCGGCCATCACTCAGTCTTCGAGCTGTACCTCTTTCATGGTGGTGGGCAGTACGGGCGGCACCGGTGGGCGGTAAGGAAATTTTACCATCAACAAAGATACAAAAGTGGGTGGTAGGTACAAAAAGGTTGACGACCCCTGATTTAGATCATTATTGTGTTGATATAAACTTTTGGAACCATTTGCTTCACATTCCTAATACAATGATATTAACATTACTGTTCAATGGAACAGTACTGAAATGAAAGAAATTAGTACTCGGTATATTTCCTCAAGATTTCTATAATGATGATGATTTCTTAGTAAATTAGATAATTATGGGCTAGGTTTTCACAGCCATTAGAATTTGATTGTATTCTTCTGGGGGGTGGTGGTGGTGTGTAGCTGTGTAAGTGATTAACAACACTTCAGAGAAACATACTGCCTCAATCTTCAGGGCTGATTTGCAGCTCAATGCTCCTCTGAAATATGGTGTTACAACCATAAGATCTACATCTTCGCCAACTGAACAACAATGTACTGGTGAAGGGCTGCAGAGGCGGTTAATTGGTTAACAAGCTGGTTGGTAGTTTGATCAGTTGAAGTTTCTAAACTATAGTGGGCGTAAACTAATGACCTTGTCCACAGGTCAGCTGGCACAGCTGGAGGAACGCAATGCAGAGTTAGAATTGCAGTACAGCACTGTGGTCAAGCAGAATCTGGAGTTGCAACAAGCGGAACGAGAACTCAGAGACAATCTGCTTACATTCGTGAGCCGCAAGGAATTGCAGGATGTGCAGGAAAAGCTGCGGAAGTCTGAGCAGGACAGGGTGCGTGTCTCAAAAATTGTTTGACTGACTGACACAAAATTACTGAATCATGCCACATGAACCAACTCACTAATACTGCCAATTACTAGACAGGAAGAGATCAGTTATTTAACCACAAACTTCTTTTTCAGATTGAACTGAAATTGGAAAAAGACCGGCTGCAAGAGGTGAGCGACATAGCCCAGGAGCAGGTGCGGAACTTGGAACTGTGGAAATTGTCACAGGAGTACCAGCTGGACTACATGAGACGTCAGATTCTAGAACTTCAGTCTACTAGTGATGAGAGGTCCATTATTGGTAAGAACTCACGTAAATGAAGTCCTGTGTTTTCCAATTATTTCAGTTTCCAGTTCTCATATTTGTAACTGCTGATCGTTCCGTTGCCCCGCAATTGATAGTTCACGGTTTTATTGATTTCTGAATTTCTTGTAACTCCCAGTATGGTTACGATATCCCAGTCTGTAAGATTCTTGATCTCTTCACTTTTCGTATGAGACGTGAACCGCCAGTGAAGGATTTACACACATGACCACCATTCTTTTTTACGGACATACGGAGCTCTCTGTATGATTCTAAAAGTCACAAGTGAAAATTAGATAAGCGTGCATCCTGTTGCTGATATACTGTAATTTGTTACAGTAAAGCTGAATCACGAGCTGCTGTCATCTCGGCTGAGCGAGTCATCAGCTCACAAGAAAGTTCAGCAGCTGCAGAATGAGATCTCCAAGCTGCTCTCTCAAAATCTGCGTCAAGAAGTGAAGCTGGATGAGAAGGATCAAGCCCTCAGTCACGTGCGGGGCCAACTCATCTCCCGATGCAGGTAGAACACGGACTCAAATCCCAGCTGTGCCGTAGCCAGGATAATTTTCAATCTTCTCACTAAGAGGAGTAATTGGCATTTTATAAATTTTCCCATTAATACTGGCTTCTTTCATGCTGATTTTGTAAGTTTTATGTCTTATCAGACTCTTACATGACGTCCGCATTGAAATGCATCTCCATTTACATGTCTAATCACAACAGTCATTATAATTCGTGCTTCACACAGTTACAATTACGATGGTCTACTGAGGAATGTGGTTGCCATTATATCCGGCTCTCTCTCTAAGAAAGAGAGAGAAAATTTATCAGTTTACGAAGGGGTATGATATCTCTACCTCTTCAGGTCACTCCATCAAGTGATCCAGGATCTCAGACGTCATTACAGTGGTGCCATGCCCCTCTCAACCCAAGACCGCATGTCTATGTCCTTACGCCGTCTTGGAGAGGAGAGACGTGAAGCTATAAACAGGCTTCACGGTGCTGAGAAGTTGGCTCATGAAGCAGTTACTGCGAAGGAAGAGATGGAATTGAAAGTGAAGTCTCTTCAGGAACTGAAAACTGCCCTCGAATCAGATGACAGCCAGAAGCAGTTGGTCGAGTGGCACAACAACAACACTGAACTCCGGCTTAAAGTACGTAGTTTAGGGCGTTAAGTTAAAAATCTTTTGCCCCTGCTAGGAATTGAACCTTTGTCATCCAGACAATAGTCAGTCACTATACTTGGGCCTTTCACTGCGACGATGAGTCAGACTCTTTATTTGTACATAATATTTATACAGACTTTTTAATCTAATGTAAAGCAATTTTCACATTTATAATGATGACCTGTAGTAATGAAACTAATTCCTATGTCTGCATTGTATATTAGGAGCTAAAATCCAGGCACCAGGTGCTGCTGCTGGAGTCACGGGTGCGGCAGGCAGAGGAGAGGTTACGTCGACAGGAGGAGCACATAGCGGTGCTGGAGCAGGAGCAGATCAGCTCAGAGAGGAGTAGGGAACAGGCGCAGCTCATGTGGGAACGGACACAGGTACCCTGAGAACAGGAGGCAGTAAAGGTCGTGTATTAGCACATTTATGAGTAACGTATTCTGAACCAGCTGGAAATTCAGAACGTGGAGGAATGGTGCGACACAAGGACGACGCAGAATGATCTTTAAAGTGCCCAGACTAACATACAGGCTATGCTTCGAAAGGTTGAGCTTCTAGGCTTTATTCTATGAAATGAAGGGAAAGCACAGCCACGTTTACTAATTGGTTTATACGGACAGTTTGTAGTTGTGGTAATCTGTGTAATGACATGTCTGTGTGCTCTGTTATAATACAGAGTGAACTGTACAAGCAACTGGCGGACTACGAGAACCAGCAGCACAAGTTCGCAGTTGAGACCCAGAAGCAAGCTTTGGTACCAGAACCTGACGAGGCTCATGCAGAAGCTACCAATCCTTCAATGGAGCAACTCAGACAGGTATTTTCTGGTACAGTTATTACCCATCACTTAATTCTTGCATCAGTTTAATATGTGTTCCCCTGGGAAACTTTTCAAACTGGCCACCTCCTGATTCTTGTCTGGTCCAGAATGAAGAGCTACTGCATCTCTTTTCAGGCCATGAGTCTTGTCAGCACCCAGTCGCAGAGCCTGCTCAAATACGAAGCAGAGCTGGCCCAGATGAGAGGGAAGGTGGCGTCGCTGACTGCAGAAATTGAAGAAAAAGACAGGCTTCTTTTCTCTAGAGACACGTTGCTGGCCGAGATGAAGGTCCAGTTAAATTCCAACGAGCAGAAGACTGCAGAACAACCGTCTAGCTACGTGAAGCATGTGGCAGAAGAGAAGAGGGTGGAGGAAGATTTAACCGAGAAGTTGGCCCTTAAGGTAACCTGTCACAAATGTACTGTCTTCCTGTCGTTATGGTCCGCTTCTTTGTTAAAAAATTCAGACATGACAACATTCCTGATAATAAGCTGCATATTTTAACAAATTCCAAGAACTCTGATAGAAGAGTTATAGATCCGCACTATATTTTGCTATCTGACAGGTCTAGAGGGCTCTTATGTAATGGCACCGTTTTCTGTACGCAACTCTTTCTTCTTATGAGACTTATTTTCAGGCAACCATTGACAGTCTCCAAAATATCGTGAAACAGAAGGAAGATACTATTGGCCGTTTCCAACAGCTGCTAAAAGAAGGTCGTGATGAACACAGTCAGGCTGCAGCCAGACTCCAGGAAGAACTGCGCAGCCTTCAGACTGCTCTCAACAACTCTCAGCAGTCTTACACTAGGTGAGAAAGCAGCACTGGAAATAAAGAATGATAAACTACAAATAATATTTTTTTGAAAATGAACACAAGACATCTGCTTGCAGACTCAAGTCCAAACTTTGCCATCCTTCGCCAGACAAGAAACCCATACAGTCCATAGTGGATCAATATGTGTGCCAGATACAGGGCTTAGAGGATGAAGTGGCAGAACTGCATACCAGTATGGGGAACCTAAGCAATCAGCTGCACTCCTATCGACAAGAGGCCGATCGGTGGCGCAACCTGGCCGAGGACCGGCTTAAGAACGTGGCGGAACTTCATAAGAGGTTAACTTTTTTGGAGAGCTCTTTGTTTAATTTCAGTTTAGAATGAAAATAGGAGCCCCAATAAAAATATGACGTCGTGAACATCCGAACCCTAGTCATAACCTGTAAGAGCACAATACAGAATCTCACCAAAATAAAAGCATCAGACGTCACAATCACAACTCTGTACAAAATGGCTGCCGTAAATGAAAGAATTCTTCCATTTATTGACAGTAAAGGAAAAGTTGATTGACTGACTGCATCTATGAAACAATACTACCAGTCATCTCAGAATTCTTGCCAATAAAGATGACAAGATAATAGGAATATGGGGAAAAAAATTACAGTATTAGATGTTATATAATTTGTATCATAGACATGGTTTTCCATGAACCAAGTAGTGCTGGTCTGACCAAAGAGGAAACTTCCAGACATTGAAGGCTTTCATTAAGGAGAAATCAGTAAATCTGAAATTCTTGAAATGGTGTGCTATGAGAAGTTTCTAAAACATCAGTAAAGAAACAATGAAAAAATGCCTGTACAGTAACTACAATATACTTTGAGAAATAACAAATTATGCTGATAAAATTTTCATTAGCAAAAGGCCCTGCCACTTGTAAGCAAAAGTTCAACATTTCAGATACCACCAAAACAGCAGAATTTTACTCTGAATTAACACTGGTTTGATAATGAAATTGCATGACCTTTGTTCCAAACTGATGCAGCTTGTCACTTGAGAAGACCGTATCACTTTTAATCACTATGGAAGCTGTAAGTCTTATAACAATTTCACTTACTTTGTGGGCAGTGCAGAGTTTGGTCATCTCGATGAGAAACCAACATTTTCTGTTCATTCCCATCCATGTGAGCTTGATGTATTGAATAATTATCACTATTCCAGTCACTCCAATACAGCTTCCCACGAACAGGGTCCAATGCTAATGAACGAATCTGGAAATATCCACCTTCAATCACTGTTGCTACCATTTCTCCTTCCAAGCTGCACACTAAGACGTGGCTGCTGACTGAGCGAAATGAACTCACGAACATGTTCCCTGAGATCCAATCAATAGCAAAACCTGTAGGCTGCTCAATGCCTGCAATCAAATAAAACAAGACTGTCACGTATGTATATATTTTCAATCCTATGCTTTTATAACTGAAATTCTGCAGCTGTTGGCTGCTTACTTGGAAACAATTTATTTCTAAATGCTATTTAATATTATGGAACAGGGTCTTCGTGAGGGCTTGGCTGTTATTCTGCTATTCCCTATTACATAACCCAATGGATTATCAGTATCATGATACAAGTCTATCTCTGGGTCCCCACCTGTGCCAGTTCAATCCTGTTCACTACTTCACAATCTATTTCCTTTAAATAATTCTCAATTTTATCCTCCCACCTATGTTTCATTTTGTATTAAAGTTTTTGTTTTTAAAGGGCTTGTGTAACAGGACATTAGAAACAGCAACTACAGAAGAAAAGACCCAACACATTGTATGATTTACAAACAAAATCAGATGTCCAGCACCAGCAGAACTTCCACAATATAAAAGGAAAGCACTTACTAAGAATAACATCAGACTAGTGGCACAGAAAATTAACGAAACATGAAAGTGTCCTGCACACAAAGGTTAAAGTCATCCAAGCACAAATGATGAAGTCAACAAAACATGTGTGAGTCACTTGAATGCAGCACAAGGGACTTGATCAGAAAGGTGTCAAAACATTTAGGGATACTACTCCATAAATGCACAAAAGTTCTGCACAACATACTATGGCAATAGTCCCACAAGGTGCAGCTGGTGGGAAGTACTTGAACCAGGTGACATGTCTCAGTGAATTGTTATTTACCTCATAAATGTACTCTCTACTGGCTGTAGAATTTTATTGGGTGAGGGACAACATAATTTATTTGTTCAACAGATGTAACATATTAAATGGAAGTTTTATAAAAAATCTGCAGAATTTATTTTAACACCTTTGAATTCATTCTATGTAGGAATTTTGAGAACACAAAATCATACAGTATGCCTACAGGGTTTACAAGTTAATTTAATTATGTACATCCCTTCTTTCCATTTAGATCAGGTGTCGTCAACCTGGTCCCTACCGTCCACTAGTGGGCGATTCAAGCTTTTGTGGTGGGCGGTGCGGGTTTTTGTCCGTTGTTACAAATTTTGTTCTACCGCCATATGTCGAATACATTGCCAACAACTTCGCGAGTTTGACTTTTTAAAATATGCTTTTGCCATTTACTTTTCAATTCCATCTCTAAACTTTGAATATAGATAATAATTCACCGGACACTTCTCGAAGTATACTCGTGGATGAGGGAGCAACAAATGAGCTCCGTAGCCAAAGGCACGAGTTTAGTGCGCATAACGAGGGCGGGGCTTACCACCGGCCATCACTCAGTCTTCGAGCTGTACCTCTTTCATGGTGGTGGGCAGTACGGGCGGCACCGGTGGGCGGTAAGGAAATTTTACCATCAACAAAGATACAAAAGTGGGTGGTAGGTACAAAAAGGTTGACGACCCCTGATTTAGATCATTATTGTGTTGATATAAACTTTTGGAACCATTTGCTTCACATTCCTAATACAATGATATTAACATTACTGTTCAATGGAACAGTACTGAAATGAAAGAAATTAGTACTCGGTATATTTCCTCAAGATTTCTATAATGATGATGATTTCTTAGTAAATTAGATAATTATGGGCTAGGTTTTCACAGCCATTAGAATTTGATTGTATTCTTCTGGGGGGTGGTGGTGGTGTGTAGCTGTGTAAGTGATTAACAACACTTCAGAGAAACATACTGCCTCAATCTTCAGGGTTTTCCACACTGGTAACCACTTAAAAGACTACATAACATTACAACACAGAAGACAACAATCAAAAAAAAG